CTAATCTCGCTCAGACTGACGTCCGGGATATCTTCGGAATAGTGTCGGATGAGACTCGCTCTTGGATCGGTACTCACACTTGCGTGTGGCTCCAACGATGACGTGTACAGCTGCCCATAGAACCTCTCAATCTCACTCAAAATCTCAGGTGCCCCGGAAACGATGCTGCCACATTCTGTCTTCAGCTTTGACAGTTGGCTCTTTCTAGCAGACAGATCTCTGGCAAAGACTTTAGAGCCTTGGTTCCGCTCGATCGCTTCTTCAATACGAGCTGTATTGAAGTTGCGTAAGTCCCGCCGCATGCATTTGGAGATCTGTCTGTTCAGATGCCTGTATGCTGTCAAGTCTGTTGAAGAATGTAGCTTCATCTCCCGTCTAACAGCCATGAGATTAAGAGTGTGATCGGAGAGTTTTTGTGTTCTTCTGCGGCGGGTCTTGCAGAACTTAGCTCCGACCGCATGGACAGTTTCCACGAGCTTGTCATTCATTCATATCGTCCACTTCATTGCAGTCTTCTAGGCACTGAAAACGGTTTTGTAACTCGAGCTGAAAGGTTTCGGGACTTTGGAACAGAGCACGAGGGGGACGGAGCGTTGACTTCATTAGACGAGACCTCTCCAACTTAACGTTTAGGTTCAGTGTGCCTCTAACCATTCGGTGATCGCTACCAGTTTTCACCCTCGCGATCACGGAGACATCACTGAACAGTTGTCGTCTGGTCGTCATAATGAAGTCAATCTCATTTTTTGTCGAACCGTCGGGGCTCGACCAGGTCCACTTCCTGTGAGGCCGCTTCTGGAAGAAAGAGTTCATCATAAAGAGTCCCTCTTTCTCCATGAAGTCGGCCAGCTGCTGGCCCCTTGGGTTCCGTTGCCCTATTCCGAATTTCCCTACTTTCAGCTCACCGTTCTCTCTTGTGCCTAGTTTTGCATTGAAGTCTCCCATTAACACCGTATATTGGGTTTTGGAGGAATGCATGGCTCTAGAGATATCCTCATACATTTCCTCCACCTCCTCATCGGGATGTGCCGAGGTTGGTGCGTAAACCTGTATGACCTTCAGCGAATACCGTTTGGTGATTCTGAGTATAAGGTACGCAACCCTCGTCGACATACTCCCGATCTTTACAACGTTGTTAACGAGAGACTTGTGGACGATAAATCCGACACCTCCTTGGGACAGATGGTCGCCCTCCCGGTGATAGAGCAAGTTGCCGGATTCGATGATTACCGTGTCCTCCCCCTGTCTTCGGACTTCGGATAATCCTATAATATGCCAGAGCAACTTGTCTATCTCTTCTTCCAGCTCCACGATCTTCTCGTCAGTCCTCAGGGTGCGTGCGTTGTACGTTGCCAGGTCGAGTCGTCTAAGGTGGCAACCGAACCTCCACCGGAGATTCTTAGCACCCCCTGCCCCGCCGTTACCATGGTCGCCACCGTAGCCAGGAATAGCCGGGCCGCCGGGGACTGGGAGCCGTCTCTTTGTTACATTCATAGGAGGGTATTTGCCATAGTTGCCACGCTTGGCGAGCGGGTTGGCAACCGCAGTTTTTTTATTGTAATTTTGGCTATTATCAGGAAGATGCTGCTGCCCATCTCCTGCCTGTTTCCCTTTGTCGCCTTTTACGACACCCACGGGAGGATATGGGGTAGTGGATATTCTTGACCGCCACTACACGGCTACATCCTTCATAGTATACTGCTTCACAATATGTTGACGCTTCACATTGTGCAGCCCTTGGGAGATTATGACGGCAACTTGAGTCAGCAGACAGCTGACGGTTGTCGTTGCTATCTCAATGCGCCTAAGCAGACAGACACCTTATTTTGAGAATCATATCACCATCAGAGCACTTGTTTCACAGTTTCCACTAATAGTTCACATGCGCAGACACTTAATACACAAAATCGCACCACTTTTACATATCAAAGTCCACTTCAAAACATTATTTAAACAATAATACACGAGCAGCAATTCAACACCGGTCAAGTTCCCGCCAAAACTCCCAATAAGGCTACAGATGCGTTGTCTCCACTGAGCACTAAATAGCAATGTCTCACAACCTGTAATTATATACTCGTAGGTTTTCTATACCCTTCATACTGGAACAGACCAGTGCAAGCACTGCTATATGGCGACTGGAATACGTGGGTCACTCAATAAGTTTTTAGATGCTCGAAATTTAAAAATGAAACGCACCCGTGTTATATGTTTCTAAACAGAAAATTTATTTAAAAAAAAAACAGTGTTTTATTAATTTTCCTGCAACACTTCCCGCGCTTTTCATTTAAAACGATGGTTATGATTTTAAATTGGGTTGAACCGAACAGTTAACTTTACATCGGTTACATTCAGCATTAGGAGGCTCAGCTCCATCACGCGCAACAATTTTTAGGTGGTTTGCTGAATTCAAAAGGGGTAAAATTAATCTTAAATATGACCAAAGAACCGGGTCACCGCATAGTAACGGCAGAAAATGTATGGACTACTGAAATGTTGTGAAAACTGCGGGAGAGAAGACCAAATATCGGGCTTCGGGAAATCATGCTGTATCACGATAACACCTCTTCACATACCTCCCTTGGAACAAAAGCATTTATTGAGGAATCTGGTGTTGAAACTCTAAGTCACCCACCCTACAGCCCTGACTTAGCTCCTTGTGATTTCATTTTGTTCTTAAGAGTAAAAAATAAATAAAAGGCAAGATTTTTTCAAGCGCCGAAGAAGCCGCGGCTGTCTACGAAGAAGCGATTTCCGACCTGTCAGATCAAGACTGGCAAAAGTGTTTTCAGAGTTGGTTTAGGCGAATGGAACTTTGTATAGAGCACGATGGAGAATATTTTGAAAAGATGTAAAATAAAATAGTATCTAGAATACTTTATGTATATCTCAAAACTTATTGAGTGACCTACGTAGGTAAGGAAGTGGTACCTATTTAGACGGACACCTAGGCAGGAAAATAATCTAATCAACTAGACAAATATGCCGCTAGGTTCCATGGCAGCGGGCATGGAGAACACACTATGTTTAGTAACGTATGTGTAGAATGGCAATGGCAATGATGGTGGAAATAAAATATTTTATTACTTATTTACTAGAGCTCCATCCCGGCTTCGCACGGGTGATTTTTGGATCTCAACAATAGCGCCGCCTATCGGGTCTCCAAATGTTAATCTAAAACATCTAGGACACATTCAAAGACTCACATAAATTCATCAAAATTGGTCTAGTCGTTATTCAGTTTTAGCGAGACTAGCGCACAACAATTGACTCTTATATAAAGATTTAATTATTTATTTAATAAAATTGAAAGTTAAAGTTTCAGCTTATTATATATTCTGTACACTTTTCTAGAAAGTGTTCCGGATTCATTGTTTTGGAAAGGACCAAGCTCGTAGCGAATATCAGATATAATAAAATAGAAAAATAATGACATCATGTTTCATGTGATAGAGTAATGAGAATCTTCACTGCTGACGTGGCATCACGTCGTCGTTGTCTACGGTCACCTAGTATCATATGGAATTAATGCTCGTTTTTCATTAACATTTTATGTTCTTTATCAGTGCCTATAAAGTGCTAGTTAGGTACTAATTAGGTGCCAGGTTAAAAAATTACGTACTTTAAATTTTTCACCGCAACGAACTGTTGAAATTTGCGTTGCTGGCAAAACGTATCGCTAGTAACGCAGTGACGGTAATAGATATACGATAAATATTAATAGCAAGGAATTAAGTGCTGATTAAGTTTTGAAAGATTATTGGGGTCAGATGTAGATGACGGTAATATTCTGGGAATTATCGGGTCCATGACCACCATTACCTTTCTATAAGGTATGAATAGCATTTTTTGTGCTTTATCAGTTATATATTATAGATAAGATAGGTCGAATCTGTACTAAAACCAAATCAGAACGCCCCGACTCCACGTAGTCGTGTCTGCCCCATCCCTAGAGTATTTTTGTAAAGCCGTAGGCACGGAGGGAGAGCAGTCCCCGCCCGCTGTGGCAAAACACAGTCATCCGTGCGAGCCGCAGAGGCTGAGGCTGGTCGCCGAAGGCGACCATTAAGCTGAAGCTGTGGAAGTGAGCACGGGTGGTTGTGATTTGCTACGCAAGGGCGAAGGGGATGCACTCCCTGCAGCGCCGAAGCCGTTGCAGAAGTAATTATGTCAATATTCCTGCAACGCAAATTTCAACAGTTCGTTGCGGTGAAAATTTTAGAGCAACTAATTTTTAAACTTGGTACCTAATTAGCACCTAAAAAAACCCTAATTTGGGCTTTTTCTAAAAGCATTTTTGATTGTATTTTGATTTTCATTAAACCTGAATTTTCCACCTGCTATGTTCTGAATAACGACTTTATTTTTATTAGGGGCGCCTTGTTATTGCCTATACTTGCAGCACCTAATTAGCACTTAATTCCTTGCTATTAATATTTATCGTATATCTAATAACTTCATTGCGTTACTAGCGATACGATTTGCCAGCAATGCAAATTTCAACAGTTCGTTGCGGTGAAATTTTAGAGCAACTAATTTTTAAACTTCGCACCTAATTAGCATCTAAAAAGCCCCTAATTTTGGGTTTTCCTAAATGCAAATTCCTGATTTTGCGTTGCTGGCGATACACAACTTAATTATTTATGAAGATATAATTACGTTTTACCTAAAGAATTATTTTCTTTTCAAGATGCATTATTTCATTCATTCCATGTGAGAGTATCTCTGCTTTGTGTCCACCTATCTCACCTTGGTGGGTACGAGAAAATATCTTAGAAAAGGTCATGATCAGCCGTGGCTTCTCAAACCTGGTAAAAAGAGACCGAAAATGAGTTGTTTCATATAAGCTTGAATTTTATATTAGGGATTGTTGGACAGATTCTCATTTTGGTTTGAATAACATTATCATTTCCCCCTGTTCTGAACACGAATTGTGTTTTTGAAATTCTTTTTAAATAGAATAATTCAATTTGTCTTATTTTGTTGCAGGCGACTACAACATGAATGCTTTGGACACGGACGAGGAGTATTTAGACGATCCAATAAAGCTATATGATGTCGAACAAATCAGATTTGGATGTCACATGCTGCAAGTTAAAGGTTGTTTTTGATCAATAAATAATATATATTTGCCAAGAGTGGCAAATAATAAAAATAATGTGACGGCTCCGTGGCGCAGTGACTGAGCAAAGAGTTGAAGCGATAAGAGCCGCGGGTTCGAATTCCGTACGGAACAAGTATTTGTATGGCCTACAAATAATTGTACCGGGTCTGGATGTTTGTTCTTGTGAAAAAAAAGAAAAAAGGAACATGTAAGATGCTGATGTTCATCAGTAAATGGTTACAGAAAAAGAAATTAGCCATGTTTTCTTTTTAACTGAGAGTAAACTTAACTTTCTTCCCCATCGGTTCTTGGTTCTTCGAGCTATATGGCCGGCCCATTGCCACTTTGGCGTACTAACCCGTTGGTTATGGTTTGGCTATGCCGGTTACTCTGGTTGTACTGCAGATATCATCATGTTTAAGAAAATCCGAACATAGCCCTCTCCATAGCTCGTTGATCGTCATTGAACTTCCCCATACGGCCAGCAGTGAGGGACCACGTGTCAGATCTATAAGTCATCACTGGCAACACGCAATGTTTATACACTCCAGTTTTCAAGTTTTGAGGTATACCTGATGAGAAAATATCTCTCCCAAACGCTGCCCGGCCGAGTTGAATCCCGCGATTGACCTCTTGGTCGAAGTTGGATTTACCTAGTCGGCCAATTCATCCTAGGTAAACATATCGTCGAAAATTTCGAGCGTAGTGCTTCTTATGACTACTGGCGTGTCACATGGACGTTACACAATATCTTTGTTTTGTCTATGTTTATCTTTATCCTAAGACCTATCCGTTGGGAGATATTATTGCGGTCATTGAGCATAGTGCTTAAGTCCTAGAGCGATTCTGCCGTAAAGACTATATCGCCGGAAAATCGAAGGTGAGTGATGTACTCGCCATTGATGTTAATACCGTATCATTTCCAGTCCAGTAGCTTGAAAATGTCTTCCAATGCGGCGGTAAAGAGTTTCGGGGAAATAATGTCACCCTATCTTATAGCTCTCTGCAGTTGGATGGGTTTCGTACTCTGGTTCCGTACTCGGATAGCCATCGAAGCCCTACTGTACAAACAATTCAGCCTTTGGATACGAGTATACAGACTAAAAGGCTTTTTTATAGTCCACATACGCAAGGCAAATTGGTAGATTGTACTCTTCGGTCTTAAGTACAATTTACCGAAGTTTATGTATGTACATATGTAGTCTATGATACTAAAGCATTTTAGAGGAAAGCGGCTTGTTCGGGAGGCTGAAAGTCGTTTAGTTTGCGTGCGAGACGATTCGTAATGGCACTCGAAACCTTACTGTCGGTAGTACTTCAAAAGAGCGTTCTCGCCTTTCTTGAAAAACAAGACCACCGCACTTCTACTCCACGGCTCTGGAGTAGTGCCACCACGGAGGATGGAATTAAAGAGCTTTTAAAGGACTTCAAGTACTGGTTTTCCACCCGCTTTCAAAAGTTCCGCTGTAATTCCATTCTCGCCCGGGGCGTTGCTGTTTTTAAGGGTCTGGAGAGCCATTCTAATCTCATTCAAACTGACACCCAGAATGTCATTGGAATAATGTCGGGTAAGACTTGCTCTTGGGTCGTTACTCACTCTTGCGTGTGGCTTCAACAATGACGTGTATAGCTGCATGTAGAATCTCTCAATTTCACACAAAATCTTAGGTTTCCTGGAAACGGTGCTACCACAATCGGTCTTCGGCTTCGACGGTTGGCTCTTTCTGGAAGACAAATCTTTGGCAAAGACTTTGGAGCCCTGGTTCTTCCATAAGAGCTGTTTTGAAGTTGCGTTAGTCCCGCAGCATGTATTTGGAGATCTGTTTATTTAGTTGCCTGTATGCCCGCCATAAATCAGTGAGAAGTGATTGAGCAAATCTCAGCCAGCTAAAGAAAGCTAAATGCGATATTAGCTGGTTTTGCAAAACTCTAGTCTAACACTCTAACAGTCTAACAAAACTTTGTTGTAGTTAAAGTGAAATAACACCGAAAATATTCTAATTCTCGTTTATTTTTTATAACATTAGGCTTAGTTAGTTTGGGACTTTGAAATATCACAGATATGGATCCACCCTAATGGCTTGCTTACATTATCTAAGTCTTTCGGAGACTGATTTAGGAGTACGTACCTTAGAAACGTGTAAATGACAGTCGGTAACTTTAAGTGATGAATTCGATCCTTACCATTTTTTTCGAAAAAAATTGCCGCTTTTTGTTTCTTTTCTTCTTTTGTTTAAGCACTTAGATACATACACCGGCCATTAAGCGTAGCAAGAACCGTTGCGTTGCACTAACAACGCAGCGCAATAGTTTTACTATAAAGCCGATATTCAGAGACAATATCGAGTTTAAATTCAACTACAGAATGTCAAAATTTAAATCAAGGGCATACTATACTAAACTATTTTGGCAATGACCCCCCTTACAATTTAAGGGAAGGCTTATGCTCAGCTTAGCCCAAGACAATTTTATAAGTAGATATTATATAACGTAACCAGTAAAGTAAAATCTCTTTTACAGATTCTGATAATATTGACAAGACGGCTACTTATGACAAGCAAAGCTCTTTACCAAATCAAGAATATATTTTTATTCTCCCAGGCACGTTTTTTGAAATCGAAAGAAACATAGAACTATTAGAAAAGTGCCGACCTTTAAGTATTCAAATTGTTGACTGTGCAAAATATCCCTTATACTATAAATCAAAATCAAATATAAAAAATTATTCCACTTACGCAAAATTTAACACTTTTGATAAAGTAAATGAAGTTAAACAAGAGAAGTTTCTTGATGAGTCCCTAAGTGAAGATACTATTGGTTGTAATAAAAGCACTGTGGTTTTTAACGAAGACGAAAAGAATTTTAAGGAAAATAAAAATTTTACATCTGCGAACACGGGGAGTTGCCAAAAATTAATGTTACTGGAAATATCAAGTGATAATTCACATATTGATTTTAAAAAGAACAAAGGCTTAATAGGTCTAAAAATAAAACGTAACGATAAATTAGAAGAATGTAATCCTGGATTACAGGAAGGTATTTTTTCAGAAAACACAAAATCTTCGACAAACGAAGTAGAATTTGCTAGTTATCGGTCTATGATTGCTAACAAAAACACAATTAAACATGAAGAAGGGAGTTTTGCACATAAGAGCGCTGACATTAAAGAAATGCCAAAACCTGATATATATTTTGATAAAAATGAAGACATTGAACGTACGAAAATAATACAACAGACAAGAGAAACTTTAATTGCAAACAGCGTTAAGCAATATAATAACCCAATCGAGCTCAGCGAGGTAAGGTCTAAGTCACCAATTCTTCCTTGTACAAGCAAAAAAAATGGTCGTTATGCCAAAAATACTAAAGAAGAATTATTAAAAAGTCTTAATAAATATACGGAACAATTTTATAACAGCAACATATTAAACAAAAGCCTAAAGAGTAACGTAAAATATTTTGATAAATCACTAAATAACCAAAATAATCTAGAAACGTGTCAACAAAGACAAGAAAAATACCAAAAAACACCAATTGTATTACAATCTAACATTAATCACAAAAATGTCAATAATAATTTATCATTTAACGTACGTCAAATAAAGGAAGTAGAAAATAATTTATCTCATGTTGCTAAACCCGTTAACAAAGAGAGTATGTTGTTGAACCAACAAGAGCAATATGTATTTCAGATACCTTTTAAATTAAATAATGTTAGCGAACTCAATAAAAAGAACATAATACAAGAAAATAAAAATAATAAAAACAAAATTAGTAATGTAAAACGAAAAGCTCAAGTAAAATGTTATACAAATTCTCTTAAAAAGGGAATGAAAAGTAAGAATGAAATTATTTGCGGTGAAGTTCACACGAATGCAACGAATAATATACTTTTAACAGGTCATCAGGAAACCTTAGTCAATGCAATACCATCTACTCCGCAGAGGTGTTATGTAAACAATAATATTACGAGTAATTGTTCATTAGGTGCAAGCAATGAGAATTTAATGCATTCAAATAAATATTCTTACACTATAACTTCTCCGGTATTATGTTTACCGCCACCAAATGCTATCAGACACCAAATACCTCATAGTCATTTTCGTATTCCACCTGTTTCTGATATTTTGCTCAGTTCTTTGAGGATAAAGAATAAAAGTATCCCTTCTTCACATTTGACAAGCCAAAAAACTTTTGCGAGGAACAAGAACACAATAAATTCATTTGAAACGTTAGATATACTTGACATGTCTAAACCACCTGAGTTACCACTCACAGATAAAAGTGATGACAGGAACGGTAATTCTTTTAATAAAAACGTCGAAGGATCGGACGGTATCGCAAAAATAAAGTCCAAACCCGTGGAAGAAATTAAGAAAATAAGAGGAGATACATTGAGTTTAAAACAAATCAAGCCAACCAAAGGCTATTCTGCACCGATTTTACCAATTCCTACTTATGAAAGTACATTTGAGATTATTGCTAAAATAGCTGCATCTAACGGTCAAGATGTAAGTGAAAATGAAGCTATTCAAGAACATAAAAATAACGGTCAACTACAACGACCGTCAAGGAGCTCAGAGGTTAGTAATCTTTTGAAAAAGAGGAAATTAGGTTTTACGAATATAACCGAAAACCAGCCGAAGAAGATTTCTTTGGATGAATATAATAGAGTATACGTAAAAAAATATGTTAAGGAAGGTAATTTATGTCCATATTAATTTGTGTATTTCGACAGACATCAATAAATGGTTTAAGCAAACGACAGAATTTCATTATAAGAAGCTTCGTTATATCTCGTAAACTATTCTCAATAGAACTTAGCAGTTTTCAATATTTATAGCATAGGCACGATAAAATAAAATGAAGATATAACTTTACTTGTAAATGGTTTTGCGTAAATGAATCTGGATCATCTGATGTGAGCTTGTCTTTGAATAGAACGTATTGTGTTATAGCTTTTGCAGAACGGTATTCTTTACCTCGAACGATGGAAGTTAACATTAGTAATTTGTCGGGAAACTTCGGATTTATGTTAAAATGAAATAAATATAAATTTATTTTCACTTATGTTAATTTAGCATTCGTTTCGGAATTTTATTATAATAAGAATGAAGAATCGTTTATGTTTTTTGTTAGTTAGTTTAACTACATCGATGCAGGTTTTGTTTTGTTTCATATTAAATTGTTTTTTTAAATAATTTTTTTAGCATAAGCTTAATGGATTTGTATAAGGCATCAAAAATCTATTGTTTTTGCGCTTTAGTGTTCTTTTTTATTATTTGTTTTGCAATTTCCAATAAAACGTTTTGTTTACTCTAATACACTTATTATTATTTATCATTATCATTACAGCCCTTCACAAGTCCACTGCTTAACAAAATATGTTCCTCAGCCACCTGCACCCATCGACTTCCTGCATCTCTTACCGGGTCGTCACTCCATCTAGTGGGAGGACGCCCTACATTTCATCTATCGGTATGAGGGTGCCATTCGAGAAACTTTTCCCCCATCGGTTGTTTGTTCTTTGAGCTATATGGCCGGCTTATTGTTACTTCAGCTTACTAATTAATCCATTGGGCTATGTCGGTTACTCTGGTTCTATTGCGGATATTCTCATTTTTAAGTCTATCACGCTGAGCAACACCGAAGATAGCCCTTTCTATAACTCGCTAAGCGACCTTTAGTTTCCTGATACGGCTACCAGTGGAGGACCACGTCTCAGATTCATAAGTCATCACTAGCGACACGCACTGGTTGTACAATCTTATTTTGAAGTTTTGAGGTGTGCCTGATGAGAAGATGTGCCGTAATCACCCGAACGCTGCCCAGCCGAGTTGAATCCGTCGTGACCTCTCGGTCGAAGTTGGACTTACCTAGTCAGACTATTGTCCCAGGTAAACACATTTGTCAACAACTTCAAACGTAGTGCTCCCAATAACTACCGGCATAGGTGCGACATTGACGTTACATATGATCCAACCACGACAAGATACTTCACTCTTCAGCTAATCTGAAGATTTTAGTTCCACTCCATTTTACTGGCTTTATCGGCAATTCTTTTACTGTTCAGGCTACACTACTCTGGAACTCCTTAAGCTGGGGTCCCACGGCCTGCCTGGCGACAGGCCGCGCCAGGTGTTGCCCCGCCTGAATGGGCCTGTCGCGGCCCGTACGGAGCATTCCCACGGCGTGTGCCGGCCTGGTGCGGCCTGTCGACTGACATTCCAACATGTTAAGTGATACGGAGCGCAAGTCTGCGTATGCAGCCGCTGTGGTTTTATTCAGTGGTGAACGTTTGATAAACCAAGTAAAAAGAAAGCAGACGAAACGACGCTGGTGGGTGTTGTCATTGAACAAAAGTCGTACTTGTTTTTATATTGAGGCGACGAACTATTCCAAAGCGCTGGTTCATTTTTGTGTCGGACGGGCGTAAATCTCCGGAGTAAATGTTGTCGAAGATACTCCGCGAGTCGCTCGCGTCCTACACAGGTTCCGGAGGATACTTTCACTGCCGTCGCTGTGTGTGCTGCTGGAAAACTGTGGACTGAGGTTCAAAATTAAAATGCAGGATTTATAAATTAAAATAGCGACTGAGTGATTAGTTACGAAATTTTATAACTGTTATTTATTGACCACGGTTGTTGAACACGGTTGTTCAACTACGGTTGTTCACTATTGGTTGGTCACTATATATTTTAACAGATTTAATTAAAATGCGCGGTAGTATTAAAATTTCTTTTGGTATTATCTATTGATAGTATCAAAATATCTATTGGTAGTATCAAATATCTATTGGTAGTATCAAAATATCTATTGGTAGTAGCTGGTTTTCTAACACTACTGACTAGCAGCTAATAATCAACTAAAACTAGTTGATTTTATCACTTGTGTAACTGCGAATATCAGTTACCATCTTTTCCGTCTAGCTAACACTTTTCACTATATGTAACGGCGAATTTTCCGTTACCACTTTTTTCGGCTAGCTAACACTTTTTTACTATATGTAACTGCGAATTTTCCGTTACCACTTTTTTCGGCTAGCTAACACTTTTTTACTATATGCAACTGCGAATTTTCAGTTACCACTTTTTTCGGCTAGCTAACACTTTTTTACTATATGCAACTGCGAATTTTCAGTTGCCACTTTTTTCGGCTAGCTAACACTTTTTTACTATATGCAACTGCGAATTTTCAGTTGCCACTTTTTTCGGCTATGTGTAACTGCGATTTTCAGTTACGACCTTTTTCGGCTAGCTAAACTTTTTCTAATTCACTATTACTGTTCACTATGTTCTGCTACTAGTCACTTCAGCTACTACCGGATACTACTGCTTGTCACTGGTAGTTTTTCCTACTACAACGTTACTGGGATTTGCCCCCATGAGGTAGACTTCGGCAATACTGTATAGAGAGCCGCTTGCCATTTTCCGTTTTGCCTCTTTATTTTTAAACATTTTCATTATGTAATTAGCACAAATCGCAAAATTTTCTATACAAGGCTAATTTTTACACTAACACGCTATACATTATTAAATAGGAATTTTGGTCCTTTATCAGTATGTGATAAAGGTTACTCAATATATTTATATTTAAAAAAGTTATTAAACGAAATGTCCCTAATTTTCACAACAAATGGGTACATTAATTCTTTAATTTTTCTATATTTATCAAATGCGTCTATTTATACAAATTATTTCTTTACCATCGTAATCTATATACCATATGCTAACTAAATATCATATTTACAACTCTTTTAGAACACAAAAATATTCTAATTATTTTCAATACAAACTATTGCGCAGTTAATTAAACTTCCAGAAAGTTCTACGATATGATGCGCTGTGATTGGTCGATTTTTTTTTAAATGCTTAAAGTTGTTTATATCAACTATTATTAAAACGACATTCTATACAAATATATTAAGAGTTGTAAACACACTGTAAAATTATATTAATACACAATTTGCTCGATTTCGTTGGTAATTTCACTTTTTATACAAAACAATATTTTTTCATCACTTTGTTTCTTAAAGTCTTTAGGCCGTCGCGAACATCTCTCCCGCCGTGCAGCGTCGCGAAGATCTTATCGCAGCGGCGCTGCATCCATTTCGGTGAGCGACGTTGCTTCTACTTCGGCAGCGGTACGAGTTTCCTGGTTGGCCTCTTGATTAGGCCGTTTGCGATGCGTACCTCCACAGTGCGGATCTGTCCGTCCGCACCGGGGTATACAGCTTCAATCCTTTCTCGTGGCCAGGTGTTACGAGGTAACTGACCGTCAGCTATGAGGATTGGATCGCCCACCTGGAGATTGGGGCCTCGACCATGGGCCTCCCGCCGGTTTTGAAGTTCCGGTAGATATTCTCTGACCCAACGCTGCCAGAACATATCAGCGAGTATCTGGGAGCGTCGCCAGTGCCTTTTGCTATCTATATCTTTTTCATCAAATACTCCAGGTGTCGGCAGTCTCGCAGATCCTCCCTAGAGGAAGTGATTTGGAGTGATGGACTCGTTGTCGTTGCTGTCTACAGAGATGTGAGTTAATGGTCTGCTGTTTACTGTATACTCCACCTTGCAGAGCAGCGTGGTTAAGACTTCTTCATGTGGATGTCTCTCATGAAGGATGGTGTATAGTGCCGTCTTCACGCATCGTACGAGACGTTCCCACACCCCTCCCATGAAAGGCGTGGAGGGGGTTATAAAACGCCACACTATGCCTCGTCGGCTGGCTTCTTCTCGAAAAGCCTCTCGAAGTTCCTTGTCTGCGCCGTGCATGTTGGTGCCATTGTCAGAGTAAATTTCTGTAGGGCACCCTCGGCGTGCCGCAAATCTTCTCAGTGCCAGTATGGCGGAGTCTACGCTGAGATTTGCGACAATTTCTAAGTGGACAGCTCTGGATGTGAGGCAGGTGAAGAGAGCCACGTATCTCTTCTGGTGTTGACGTCCCACTGTGACGGAGAGTGTCCCAAAATAGTCCAGACCGGTGAAAGTAAACGGTCTTTGGTGATGAGCGAGACGTGTACTGGGATGATCACCGGTGGCTGGCACGGATGGTTGTGCCTTTCTGATGCTACATTGTACGCATTGGCTCACTATTCTTTTCGTGGTGGGTCAAAGTCGGATTACCCAATAGTGCTGTCGAACCTCGTTGATGGTAGGTTCGGTTCCACAATGATGCAGGCTACGATGCGCCCAGTCTATGTACCATTGAGTGATGTAATGATCACCATCCAATATAGCTGGACCTTTCATGTCTCCCGAGACTCCCTTCACGGCGGCTATGCGACTTCGTAGAGCGATGATCCCGTCTTATAATTCTATTTGGAGCGGTCGTAAGCGGCTATCATGGGCGACCTTTTTATTGTTACGGAGATCGGCTATTTCTTGTGTGAAGGAGTCCTCTTGGATGACATGTGTTGCTTTTCGGCCTTTCTGATGTATTCGGCCTCGAGTGCGATGTACTTATTTGCATTTCTATTTTTTACTTGACTGGGAGGCTGCGCGAGCTGTCGCGGATTATTTTTCGATTTCCTCCTCTTTACTCTTTTTAGTCCTTTTGTAAAAGGTCCTGTCTGTTATTTTGCTTAGTGTAATAGTGCAGCTTGCAGAGTGTAATAAACTGAAGCACTCTGGCCGTCGCTCGCAATAAGCGTTCCCATTTCGAAAACTTTACTGGATCGGGAATGGCTTCTCTGAATAACGGCACTTGATGCAATTCTGTA